AAACACCAGCAACAAATTGAGGCTGTTTTTTAAAGCAGCTCCAGCAGAGGCAGCAGACTGAGGCTGGTGATGATTCTGGTAAAACACCATCATTTTCTGTGGGCCGTTTATTGCCAAAAATGACCGGAGAGGATGATCCAGAGGTGTTTCTAACCACCTTTGAAAGGACTGCTGAAAGGGAAAAGTGGCCTAAAGAACAGTGGGCTGGATTGATGGCCCCATTATTAACTGGAGAGTCGCAAAAAGCTTACTATGACCTGGAGCCGGACCAAGCCAAAAACTATGATGTGCTAAAAGTGGAAAATTTTGGCCGGTTGGGTGTTACCCTCGCTGTCCGTGCTCAGCGGGTACATAATTGGACTTTTCGGCGGCTTGGGAAACCTCCCAGGTCACAGATGTATGATCTCATTCACCTGAGCAGGAAGTGGCTGCAGCCAGAGACTTTGACCCGCCCCAAAAATTGTGGAACGTGTCGTCATGGATCGGTTCCTAAGGTCTCTGCCTAATACTATTCAAAAGTGGGTCAGCCATGGAGACCCAGAAACTGCAGACAAGCTGGTGGATCTAGTGGAGAGATACTTGGCTACTGAGAACCTGACCTCTTCTTCCAGAGACTCACGGACTTTCCACCCTAAGACCAGACCATCCCCAGCGGTGGGTAAGATGACTACAAGGGGTGAGGGTGGAGAGAGTGAGAGGGTGGGAGTATTACCCAATGTCTGGCAAGAGCGGCCAGGAAGGCCAAGGCCGCAAGAAGCGGTGAAAAAAATTATTTGTTACCGCTGCCGGCAAGAGGGACACATTGCAGCCAATTGCCCAGTGGTGGATGAGCCTATGCAGTGTGACTTTCTGAGCAATAGACGTCAGTCGCTGTTTGCAACAGTGGTATGCACGGCCAGCCCGGGCACTGAGAAACATTTGTGCAAAATGACTGTTAATGGAAATAATATTGTGGGGTTGCTGGATTCAGGTAGCCTGGTAACCTTGATAAGAGAGGAGATGGTCACTACAAAGGTCTCTGGGCATAAAAAGGTGGCAGTGATTTGTGTGCATGGGGACACTAGGGAGTATCCCGTGGCTACTGTGTTTTTTGAGACCCCCAAAGGTAACCTGTCTCATCAGGTAGGATTGGTACCTCATTTACCACATGATGCCATTGTGGGGAGGGATTTTCCAAAATTCTGGGAACTCTGGGATGTGTTCTGACCCCCCCCACTGTCTCCCCTGCAGACCAGGAAGGTGAATCCCAGAAAGCGTCTGAGTGTGGTGAGGTCTCTCCCAAGTTCCCCTTGTCGGTACTAGCTGGAGAGACCCAAGGAACTGGGGAGGAGCCCGCCTCCTCAGATGAAAATCTGCCGGTTGTGGATTTCTCGGACTTAGAGGTGCATAGGGAAAATTTTGCCACCCGAACAACTGAAAGACCCCACGCTGATAAAAGCCCGGGAAAATTTAGTAAAAGTAGATGGCCAACTAGTGAGTCCTGAGAAAACTGCTGCTTATCCATACTTCCTTGTGGAAAGGGACCTACTCTATCGAGTTGCTCAGGGGGCAGAAGAAACCATTGAGCAACTGGTGGTGCCCAGACCTTACAGGAAGTTGGTGTTGGAGTTGGCCCATGGACACATCCTTGGGGGTCATTTGGGGGCGGAGAAAACACGGGAAAGAGTACTGCAGCGGTTCTATTGGCCTGGGGTCATTAAGGAGGTGGAAAATTACTGTTCCTCTTGCCCTGTGTGTCAGAAGTCGGCCCCTATGCCCCATTTCCGTAGTCCACTGGTACCTCTTCCCATCATTGAGGTCCCCTTTGAAAGGATTGCCATGGATTTGGTAGGTCCGCTGGTGAAATCCGCTAGGGGGCATCAGTACCTGTTGGTCATACTCGACTATGCCACCTGCTATCCAGAAGCAATTCCACTCCGAAATACCTCTGCCAAGACAATAGCTAAGGAGCTATTCCTCGTTTTCAGCCGAGTGGGTATTTCAAAGGTACTGCTGACGGACCAGGGAACCCCCTTTATGTCCCGGGTGATGAAAGAGCTGTGCAAACTGTTCAAGGTAAAACAGTTGCGCACCTCTGTGTATCATCCCCAAACTGACGGGTTGGTGGAAAGGTTCAACAAAACCCTGAAACAAATGCTAAGGAAGGTGGTAGATAAGGATGGAAGGGGTTGGGATTATTTAGTACCCTATTTGATGTTTGCCATCCGGGAGGTACCCCAGTCCTCCACAGGGTTTTCACCATTTGAGTTGCTCTATGGGAGACACCCAAGGGGGCTGTTAGATATCGCCAAGGAAACTTGGGAAAGTGAGAGTTCTCCCCATCGGAGTGTGATTGAGCACGTCGCCCAAATGCAAGATAGAATTGCCCAGGTCATGCCTATCGTAAAGGAACATTTGTCCCAAGCACAGTTAGCGCAGCAGAGGGTGTACAATCGGGGGGCCCAGACCAGGTCGTTTGCTGAAGGAGATAGAGTGCTAGTGCTAATCCCTACGGTTGAAAGCAAATTCCTGGCCAAATAGCATGGCCCATACGAGGTGATTGAGAAAGTGAGTGAGGTGAATTACAGGGTCAGACAACCAGGAAGGCGGAAACCGGAGCAGATCTACCACATTAATCTGCTAAAGGCCTGGAGGGACAGGGAATCCCTAGTTGCTGAGGGTTTGTCACCAGCGCCATCTAACTGCTTGGTTCCGGAGGTTGGAATAGCAGTCACGTTGTCTACAATTCAAAAACAGGAGGCTAAAGAGTTTGTGCTCCGCAACACAGAGGTTTTTTCTGAGCTGCCGGGACAAACCTCGGGGGTGGAGCATGACATTATCACCCCACCGGGTGAAAGAGTAAAACTGAAACCCTATAGAATCCCAGAGGCTCGACGGGAGGCAATACGTGGGGAAGTACAGAGAATGCTAGATTTGGGGGTGATAGAGGAGTCCCAAAGTGACTGGTCCAGCCCCATAGTGTTGGTGCCCAAACCAGATGGGAGCTGGCGATTTTGTAACGACTTTCGACAGTTGAATAAAGTTACAAAATTTGACACCTACCCCATGCCAAGGATAGATGAACTAATCGACCGACTGGGAGCAGCCCGGTACATGACAACACTAGACTTGACGAAAGGTTATTGGCAAATTCCCCTAGCTAAGTCGGCAAAGGAGAAGACTGCATTTGTAACCCCAGAAGGGTCATTCCAGTATAAAAGAATGCCGTTCGGGTTACAGAATGCACCGGCCACCTTTCAGCGAAAAATGGATCAGATTCTTCGTCCCCATCAGAAGTATGCTGCAGCGTACTTGGACGATGTGATTATCCATAGCGCAGACTGGGCCTCACATTTGCCAAAAGTTCAGGCTGTGCTAGACTCAATACGGAAAGCTGGGTTTACGGCCAACCCAAAGAAGTGTACGATTGGACAGGAGGAGGCCAAGTACCTGGGGTACACTATTGGGAGAGGGGTAATAAAACCTCAGATAAACAAAGTGGAAGCAATACAGAATTGGCCACGCCCAAATAACAAAAAGCAGGTATGGGCTTTTCTAGGAATTGCTGGCTACTATCGGCGATTCATTCCCCATTTTGCTTCTATGGCAGTACCCCTAACCAACCTGACAAAAGGGAAGGAGTCTGTCATGGTTAAGTGGTCCCCTGATGCTGAAGCAGCCTTCCTGTCTTTAAAAAGGGCCTTATGTAGCCAGCCAGTCCTATACTCACCAGACTTCTCAAAAGACTTTGTGGTCCAGACGGATGCATCCAATGTTGGCTTAGGAGCAGTGCTGTCCCAGGTTTGGCAGGGGGAGGAGCACCCACTAATCTATCTCAGCCGAAAGCTAAAGTCTCACGAGGAAAATTACGCCACGATTGAGAAGGAGTGTTTAGCGGTAAAGTGGGCCCTAGATTCCCTTCGGTACTATCTGCTGGGCAGACATTTTGACCTGATCACAGATCACGCTCCCTTGAAATGGATGGCTCAAAATAAGGAGACCAATAGAAGGGTAAATAGGTGGTTTCTGGCCCTACAGGAATTTACCTTCATGGTGAAGCATCGCCCTGGTGTTCAGATGGGAAATGTGGATGCTTTATCCCGGGTACACGCCTGCCTGGCTACTGGTGTTACAACCCCAAGGTTGAAACAAGAGGGGGGGGGGGGTATGTGACAGTAGGCAGGTGAAATCACCTGGTTTGCGTCCTGGATGGACGATATATTTGTCCGAGGTTCAGGGTTTATGGGGATTTGTACCACTAGAGGGAAGTGCTGAGTCCTTCAGCACTGAGATAATGAGCCCAGCTGAAGGTAGTGGGCTCATTAACACCTGTATAAAGCTTCCCAGAGTGCTTAGGGAGTGGCTCCACCCTGGAACCAGATCTGTGCCTGAACTGTCTGGGGAGCTGACCTGCTATCTGTGTGCAGAGAGACCAAAGCCTGTGTGGCTAACCTCCCAGTACTAGCAACTAGGTATAGCAGCAGGCTGTACCTAGTGGGTAGCTAGGGAAAAGCTGTTGTTGCAGTAAGTAGCCAAGTTGGCCAGGATTTATTTTGATGTTTCTTTTTGGTTTATCATTTTTTCTGTAAATATTGTAAATAAATTGCACCTGTTTGTTTTCACCTCCACTATTGTTGTGCTGTGCCTATCTTTTTGTGTTGTGCACCCATCCAGGGGGTCACACACACCCGCTGCCGAGCTAACCTTGTTACAATATCTTAGTTACATCTTTTTTCTGTAAATATTTTTATTGCACCCGTTTGACCTTTTTAGTAATAAATCTTTCTTTCTGAAAGTGTTGAACTGTTTTCTATAGCTCTGTATTGCAATTTACGAATCCCTGCCTCTAAAGAGAACACTACTATTTGTTTAACCCTCTGTATAACAGGCCTGTGTTATGACCGTGTTATGCAGTCGATTATTTCAATCATTATAGTGTTATAGATGATAACGCCGAGTTTCCTCTTTCTCTGTACAAAAAGGAGGTGGTGGCAGTGTGAAGGGTTAATTGCGTAATTAACCTGACCCAGTAACAATTGCCCAGGCTGCCGGTACATCGATTGTGGCCCATTAGCTGGGAAATCGTCGTTGAGCAGGGTGCAGCTGGGTGTGGCATTGTTACGCACGTCACATCGCAGTTTTAGATTGGCTAGTCCTTCGGTCACGAGTTTGGTGAGAAGGTCTGGGGTCTGACGCCGCGATCGTGACACTAACCACTTAGCCACTGTGCTGCCCAACTCATGCAGGATTTTAGTAGTGACATCCATGTGTTAATGTTTCAGCTGTCAGCAGGGTTCCCCACTGACATCTGAATGTAAAAGAATTTCTGGCAATTAAAAAAAAAAAATTTAATTGGCGGCAATTGTTTTACACTCAGCTGTCAGGTGCCAGTTTTTAAATGTAATTACTTTCTTTTTTTTTTTTTCTTCACTATACAGTAGTTCAGAAATTCAGCAGACACTTCCCCCTCCATCTTTCTCCAAAGTTTCTTTTAGTTTATTTCCCCAAGTTAAAAGAAAACAATGTTTCATTTCAGTGTCTTAAAAGATACAAAGTATCCTTTAGCTCTGGGGAAAACTGACAGCTAATGTTGTGAGCTATAGTGAAGAAAAAAGAAAGAAAGACGGCAATTGCATTTAAAAATCAGCACTGACATACACTTCGTATTGTGAGAAAAATTAGTAAAAAATTTGTAAACCGAGGCATTATTTTCAATGGATTTTCATTCGTAAACCGAAAACAGTTAACAGAGGCATTCATAAACCGAGGTATTACTGTATATGCTATGGTCTTTTTTTTTTTTTTTTTTTTTTGTATGCAGCCTGTGGACTGAATGAAAAAAAAGAGGGGAGAGGGAGGGAGGACCCTGGTCATGGCGGCTGTGGGGAGTGAGCGGCACTAGCCTTAGGCTAGGTACCGCTCCCCGACCTCCCTGGTGACCCTTAGGAGCCGACTCACCGGAGTCTGGAGGGCCGTGAGTGGAGTCCGAAGAACCGAAGATGGGAGCCAGACGGGGGTCGCAGTGACGGGGCCGGCCTCTCCGGTCCTTGGTGAGAGAGGGACCCGGACGGCTGGAGAGCGGAGTGACGTGGCGGGGGTGTGTGACCGGCCGCGGAGGCTCTCTGGGAGAGGAGAAAGCCAGCTGGCCGCCTGATTTGACGGAGAGACGCCGGCTTATAGTTACCGGCTCTCTGCTGCCCTCAACCCCCGGCTAATTACTGCCCATAATCCCCGGCTGGCTACTGTCTGTAGCCCTCGGTCTATTGCTGCCTGGGGCCCCCGCCAGCTGACTCTTCGATTCTGGGTCAGGGAGCCCGGGAGCGCCAGGAGACCCACCCTGCATCCCTGGGACGAAGCCCAGAGGCAAAAAAACAAAACAAAAAAAAAAAACCGAGTGGTACAGAGTTGGAAGCCCAGAGGAATCCCCCCCAGGACAGAGCTGCTGTGAAGACCCTCCACCCAAGCTTGGAGCCACCATCCGGGGAAGAGAAGGGTGAGTGAGACCTGATGGGGGCCTATTGTATTGTATAGTGGACTCCTGAGTGACAGTGGGGAACAAGGGGTTAAGGAGGAGAGGGGAGGATTCCCATGGGTTCAGAAGAGAAGAGACCCACGTTCCCTAGGAGAGCACAAGTAAACTCAGTAAACCTGTCTGGATTACAAACCATAGAGGAGAGGTATAACCCCATCTAGAGAATATAGAAGACAAAAGACTTATAGAGGATATGAAGAATAAAGGTCCTAAGGGAGCAGGGCTCAAAGGGTCTCAATCAGGCACGATAAAGAAATTTACATCACATGGAAACATTACGCCAGAAAGGGCCCAAGGCGCAAGAGCCAAAGGGGAAATGGACACTAGCTTAGGAAACAGCCCGAGACTATCACTGGGTATGAACAGCAGTTGTAGCCAACAAATAGCGGATGGCTTGGGACAAAAAGAACTTGATGGTGAACTACAAATACCGAATAAGAAGGAGATGATAGAAATGTTCCAAAGTTTGGAGAAAACGATAAAACATGAAATGACAGTAATTCGGAACGATTTAAGGCATCTGCTAACGAGAATGGAAGAAACAGAGGAGAAAGTTAAAACCCAGGCCCAAACCATAGATAAGCTAAGGAAAAAAATAACCCATTTGGAGAAAACCCAGAAAAAACTGTTCTACAGGATGGAAATTCGAGAAAATAAAGAAAGAAGGTCTAACCTTAGGGTGAGAGGAATTCCAGAGGCAGAAAAAGGGGAAACATTACATGAACTAGTTAAAAAAAATCTTAAACTCCATAAGAGACAGACCTGAAACAGAAGTGATTGAACTGGATGGAGTTTTCAGAATAGGAAAGTTCAAACAAGATACTGAGAGGGAAAGACCGAGAGAGATATAGTTGTACAGTTCCAGAAATTTGGGGTCAAAAATGAGATTTGGAAGAACATCAAGGGAAGACCGTTAATTAAATATGGAGATTTGACTGTTCAAATTTTTGCGGATTTAACACCAGAGACTCTATGGAGAAGGAGATCCCTGAGACCCCTGTTAGAGCAAATGAGAAAACAGAACGTGCAATATAGATGGGGTACTTCAGCATCTCTAATTGGCTGGAAAAATGGGGTAACAGCATACCTGAGATTCCCGGAGGAACTGAGAGATTTTTGTGATAGACTGGATCTGCAAAGAATGGAGATAACTGGGTGGGAAGAAGAAGAAGAAAAAGGAGACTCGGATGATACGGCAGGGGAGGATTGGCAGCGGGTCGGGGAAGGGGGAGAGAGGCTCTGGGGTTGGGGAGGGGGGAGGGAGAAGTGAGCAAAAAAATACGCTTTTCTTTTTCTCTCTCTTGTTCCCTTGCCCCCCTAGTATCCCCCTTTTTTGAGGTGGAAGTCCCTCTGGAGGCTCCGGTTGAGGTGGGGAAGTAAAGGTTATTGCAGAGCCTTGTAGATAGAGAAAGGGGTGCTAGGGAGGTCGGAGGAAAGGTGAGCCGTCCATGGGCGGAGTCTACGCCCAATATTTTAAATCACCTGTGGAAACAGTTCCACAAATGATTTGTAGGCAGTTTATAAACCTAAAAATAGGTAGGGGAAAAGTAAAGAGGGGGGGCGGGGGTGGGGTGGGGGGATGGGGGGAAGGGGGGGAGGGGGAGGGGGCTAATAAAGTCATTCGGTCCTAATAGGAAGACGAATTAGAAGAGAAGAAGATGGAAGAAATACAGTTTATAACATATAATGTGAATGGTTGAAATTGCCCTGGGAAAAGATTTAAGTTGTTTAAAGAGTTACATCATAGGGCAACGTCAGTGGTATTTTTGCAGGAGACACATTTTGAGATAGAATCTAATGTGAAACTAAAATCCAAATATTATCCTACATGGTATTACGCTGACTCTCCAATTAAAAGAGCAAAGGGGGTGGCAATAGGATTGGCAAAAAATATGAGATTTGAGTTGGAAGATAGAAGGACTGACCCCGGAAGGGAGATTCTGTTTTTGAAAGGTAAACTACAGGGAATTGAATGCACACTAGCCAATATATATTGCCCCAACAAGAAACCTGAGATCTTTCTGAAGGGTTTGCTAAAAAAAAATTGATAGATTTTAAAAAAGGGCGTTTGATAATAGCAGGAGAGATTGAATCTCTGTATGGACCCACAAATGGATGCAACCTCCCTTGTGCAGAGAGAAGGGGGTAGGTCCCTGAGAGCTTTGAGGAAGGTAATCCACGAGTACCAGCTGGTGGACACCTGGAGAATAATGCATATGAAGGACAGAGACTATACCCTTCTTCTCTAATGCACATGAGATATACTCGAGACTGATTACATTCTAATAGATCATCAACTCATTGAAATGCTGGTTAAAATAGAAATAGAGACAAGAAATTTTTCGGACCATGCCCCAGTCGTAATGAAAATAGGATGGGGAAAAAGGTGGACGGGAGGGTTTAGGATGGAGGTTAAATGAGGCTCTTCTCTTGGATGAGGATATTGTGCAGAAGATCAGGAAGAGATTAAGGTATATTTCCAGGAGAATGAAACAGAGGAAGTATCGACAGCTACAGTATGGGAAAGTCATAAGGTATATATAAGAGGAATCCTGATTGCGATGGGAGCAAGGAAGAAAAAAGAAAGAACAGAGAGGGTTAGTGGACTCTTAAAGGAAATCCTGGAATTGGAGCAGATACACAAGAAAAAAAAACAATAGAAACAAGACAGAAGTTAAGGGATAAAAAAGACGAATTAGAGAGATTGATGGAAGAGGAGAGGAGAAGAGTATATAATAAAGTATTAAGTGAAAGATATAGATGGGGTGATAGACCAGGAAAATACTTAATGAGAGCCCTGAATAAGAAGAACAGGAATTATATAGAAAAGATAAAAAGCCCTAAGGGGGAGATGGTCCACTCAACTAAAGAAAATTATTAAAGTATTCACGGGAGTATTATAGAAAGTTGTATAACATCAGCCACCAAGGATCACCAAAAGAAATTAGGGAAGGTATTAATGAAAAAAGGAGGACATATTTAAAAAAATGCGGGATTGCCAAAGCTTAGTGAAACACAACTGAACTCCTTGGATGCAGAAATTTCTCAGGAAGAAATAGAAGCAGCATTAAGAAGTACAGGGGGAGGGAAAAGCCCAGGCCCGGATGGATATACAGTTAAGTACTATAAAAAATTTAGTGAAGTACTGTTACCAAAGTTAAAGAAATATATGAATGACTTGGGAGGTGGGATGGAGGGGGAGGGAATCCCTTCAGGCCCATGTAGTTCTCATCCATAAGGAGGGAAAAGATCCCTCTCAGTGCTCTAGCTACAGACCAATTTCATTATTAAAAAAAAAAAAAAAAAAAAAAAAAAAGAAGAAATCTCTGCCAGAAAGTTTGTGGTATGCCCACCATTAGAATATACTGCCCTGCATCCACCCACTCCTAAGGGCACACATTAGGTCACACTTTGCTACATGCTCCAGTTCCAAGATTGTACAAATGTCTAAACAGTGGCACACTTGAATAAAAATTGTCCATATAAAGTGGTACCCCATATGGAAAAAGGATGACACTAAGTCCCAAACTATC